GCCCTACTGCTCGCCCAGACCAGAGGGACATGGGGCACATGCTGCTCCTCCACTCAGTGACAATGTCCACCGCCAAGGGGCACCCTCAGCACCCCACTCTGACCAGGGCTGTTGGTTCGCTCCTCCCTGCATCGCCCCCAGGCCTGGCATGGGGAGAGGACTCCACACCACCCGCAAGGCTGCAGTTAGTGCAGCAGTTCTTTCCCCAGATGAGAAAGCCATGGGGCTTCAGCTCAACACTGCAGGACCTGCTCATGGACTCATGCCCATCCCCTTGTGCCCCATGAGAGCAGCTTATTCCAAATTGTGGTGCCCCACCTCATCATGCCAGGGACATGGCACAGCTGACCTATGGGTCAGTTCACAGCTCACCAGCAGTGGCTGTGACCCTGCCATCCCCTCTTGCCTCTGTGAGCAGCTCTGGGGCACCCAGCTCCTGTCAGCACAGAGCAGTGCAGGATGCACCCACTGAGCACTCCCTAGAAAGATGACACAGTGCAGCCAACTGTGTGTAAAGGCTTTACTGGGGCTCGAGATGAGACAACCCTGCTGGGGGGTAAAGCCCCTCCTCAGGGCAGCTCTCCCACCTCTGGGACTCAGCACATCTGCCCTCAGCACCTGGCACTTTCTGCTGAGGGTTTCATCCTGTCCCATGCAGGCAGGATACTGCTGCCCACTGCTGGGAGCAGCTAAACCTTGAGGCACAGCAAGGGAGCACAAGGAGTGCTGTTACTCCCAGCTGGCTGGGGATAACGGGCCGCAGGGGTGGGAGGGCAGCAACCAGCACACAGGACCCTTGGGATGCCCACAGTGCCCAGGAAGCCCCTGCTCAAGGCTGGAACTGCCCAGGGCATCTTTGGGCCAGAGGCTACACAGCATCAAGCAACAGCAGAGGGGGCACCTTTGCCACCCTGCAGCACTGCCCCCAACTGCTGCAACACCCTCACCCCTCATGCTGGGGACCCTGCCCCGAGTGCAGCACTCCTCGCTAGAGGTCTGGGTGCTCTGCCTTGTCACGTTTGGGTTGGGTGTTGCTGTCAGCAGCAGATGCTTGCGGGGGTGGCAGTGTGGGCTGAGGCTTGGCGGGGGCAAACTGGAACTCCTCAGGCACAGGGGCATCAGGTGTCTCCTTGCGGTAGAAGCCCAGCTCCTGAACCAGCTGGTTGATCTCCTCCCGGGTCATGTCGCTCAGGGGGATTCTCTGCAGCCAGACAGAGGCTGCAGCCTGGCACCCACGGGGCACCGACCACCCCAGGACCCGTGGCAGGCGGGGGCGG